TAATAAGTAAATTACCACATAGTTTATCTAAAGATAGTATCCCAGCAAATGAAAATGGATTGAAATAGATTGGAAATTTTCAATCCATCCAAATCCGTATTTTAAATCCATAAAAATGAATTGAATTCCATATAAAAAATTTTTATATATGTAAAAGTTTAAATAAATTGAAGTAGTAATTACATGAAATTCTATTACAGTTATTATTTTGAAACTTTTATACAAAAAATTACGCTAGCTGTTTAATAAAGGAACCGTATTAATATAAAATATACATAAAAGCAATTAATTTATCCTATATTAAAAATAAGAAATTGACATATGTAACATATTTATTGCACATATTTATGTAGTGCTTTTTATATCTTTTTTAAGTATTAAATGAAATAGAATTCATGGTATATTTTTACGGTACAACTTTTTTTGTCAGTTGAATTAAACCAAAAAATTTCTTGTTCTTAATTCTGAATAAAGTAGCATTCATAATGCATTTTTTAATGAAACATTGGATTTTCTACTCAAAATTTTGAATTGAATTTTAAGAAAATGGGCCATCAAAAGAAGAACTTTTTTTTATTCAATTGAATTAAAAACCTGCATTTTCTATTCAGAATTTTGAATTTAGCAGTATTCACAATGCACGGAAATGACTGATATTATTGTTATATCCAACTAGATTGAAAAACTGCATTTCCTAGTCAAAATTTTAAATTAAGCAGTATTCACGATACAAATAAAATACTATAATATTATTTTTAGATTGAAGAGCATAGAAATATACTCCATGCCATTCCTATAAATGAATAAAAATCCATTCAAGATTGAGAAGGAATAAACATTTGTTTTATGTAACTCCTATAAATGAGTAAAAATGCATTCAGGATTGAAAAGAATTCATTTTAACATTCATGAATCCGTATTTCTGAAAATCTGAATCCATTTTAATCCATTTTAATCCATTCTCATTTACTACAACCGGTCCTTAGAGATGTTTATTTACCGAAGAAAAAGATTCACGATTTTATTTATTTATGTAATATTTATTTTTAAAAATGACAGAAGAGTAAAACTTACGTCTAAAAGACCTCTTAGACCGATATTCACAGTCGGTTCTTATTTTAAGACTGTCTTAATAAGTAATGCCTTAACATACTAATACGACTCTCTCTGGTTGATTTATGAATCTTAAGAAACTATACTTAAGACTCTACAGTCTGAAATATATAAGAATCGACTACGAATACCGACCTTAGATTAAATTAGTTTTATTTCCGTTTTATGAATATTTTGCAAGTCATTTTTTTGTTTACAGGGAGTGATTCAGGAACAACTTACATACTGGAGTCTGTTATCAAGATGACTATGATCATCGTGAAATGTTTCGCGTAGAGTGAAGAATGTGAAAGCAAAAGCGTGTATCAGAGATCATCGACATACAAACTTTTCTTTCGCTAAAATCACACGGCCAACACAAGACGGAACAGAATGTTTTCTTACCTGTAGATTATCGTAAACTATAAGCAGTTTCTTAATATTCATGTAATCATGGTAATTATTGGAATTTTTATTTATTTTACAAATCATCTCAGAATCATTCTGAAAAAATATTTATTTTAAATTTTATGAAAATTAAAAATGAGGAACAAACTTTCAAAATGTGTTTTGTTCAAAATTTTTCAGGAAATAAAAAAGAAAAAAATTACTCACATACATATATATATATAGAAATATTAAACAAAATTGCTTAACAATTGTTAAAAATGTTAAACAAATGCATTTTGTTTGTTTCTAGTTAAAAAACATAATGCACTTTAAAATGTTTATGTTTTTTCAGGTTATAAATCAACGATAAAAAAATGTTTTCACACCTCTTTCTTCTGAACATCTCAGAGTAGTTTATAATATAAGTTATTCAACACGGAGCACTACACCATCTCTAACTAAAAAAATGAAATTTTGGACAAAACGCATTTTGAAAGTCTGCTCCTTAAATATAAAAACAATATCTTTTGTTTACCTTCATTAAAGATATAATATAGCTCATATGTGACATTTCTAAATGTTAATATTAATTAGTAAACGTTCGAACTGATGACGAAGCGACACTGATGTGGCTCATTTGATTAAGCGAATCACACGGTCCGACGATCGATTCGAGCTTCAAATTACTCAATGGGGAAAGATGTACCTATACATTGAGCAGCAACTATTAGAGATTATAAGTGAGTTTTATGAAAGTAGCACAATTTTGTAAGACATACAAATGTAAAACTAACGTTCAACTCGGTATGTAAATCTCAATATCGATTATTAACATTATTATATAATTTTGAAAAAGAAATTCAAAAGTCCATCTTTAGAAATGATATTTCCTGATGAGCATTTTAATTTCAAGACAAGATTTTAATTTATGACAATAATTCTTATTAAAAAGTTAAAAGAAATATAAGGTTTCTATTCGTCATCCACAATTCTCTCGACCAGATTTCGTATTATGCGTTGGTGAGAAAATAGGTTGCGGGATATCACACAGTATTGGCTTTCAACCATCGCTCTTGTACACCTGGCCAATGAACGGCGATCAGGTAGCGCGAAGGCTACCGACGAGAATGGGCACGTAGGGCACGCGGTCGCAAGGGCGGTGAGTAAGGGAGGATCGGCGGAGGGACGTGTTCGCCGGTGGTGCGCTGGCTGGAGAACAGGTACTCGCCGTAGGCGTCGTACATTCATTGATAAGCGTATAACACCCCGTGCCTTAGACCCGATGACGTCAACGGACGCCTGCGCAGCGTCGCGCCGAGTCCTGAATAGCAGTGGCGACCATCAGCGTTGCGATGCATCCGGTTTCTTTTCTGTATCGTGTATACACAGCGAAACTCTTTTCTCTGGCATAGTTTACACGTGAATTTATCTAATCGCGATATCAGCGGTTGAAAGCATAATTGTTGAACGTAGACTATTATTTCCTTAACATACAATTCTTTTAACGATGCAGCAGCGTAATTGAAGGAAATTGTATTCTAATTAGTCTGCGTGGCAATGTGCCAAGACTCCTAACAATACTTTATTATTTCTCCACACTGCATACCATATTATTGAATTAATAACAATATTTTTTTACGAACTGATTAAAACCTTTTTTTAATAAATTGATTAAAATGTCTAAAACTATTATATCTGTTGTAGATTATTAAAATTAAACGCCAGAATCTTCGTTGATTAATGCAATCAGTACATCGACGTAATCATCTAATGGATTCATGGAGCATATTTGGAATTTCTACGGGGGCGAAACTTGGTACGTTCCTGGTGATACGACAAGATCGTTTTAGATGACGAGGGAGGTACTGTCATCTCTTCCGCACGGAAATTTTGGATAGGCGTGCGTGCGTGCGGCGTTGTGTTAAAATTAGACTAGGCATTTCTCCTAATTTTGGCGGATCTCCCTCTTTATTCTCTATGTCATTCTACATTGGCCATTCGTCCAAGAGAGAAAAATCACGCGAGAGGAGAAAGCACGACGGGTTAGAATGAAACGAATAGAAGAGAATCGAAGAACAGAGTAAGATAAATGAAAATAGATGTAGGCGGTGGAGAGGAAGAAGAAAGAGAGGGTGAGTAGACGGGGATGGGGAGTCGATGGCGGGAGAGTTTCGGAAAGAGGGAGTGAGAGAAGTAGAAAAACAGAGAGAAGAAGAGAAAGAGTGACAATGAGAGAGACAGAGAGAGAGAGAGAGTAGAGATATCGTAGGATCACCTCTTGCGTATTGATTGGTCTTTTGTGAAAGCTACACCCCCATGTAGCCGCGACGCGAACCATTTCGTCAAGTCACTAGACTTCCAGGGTATCGGCCACCAGGGTGGCGGTGCCGCCATGTTTGACACGGTCGATCGAACCCCTTTAACGTAGCGCGCGAATCATCGCGGTCGCCCCCCGTCGCCGATGATAATGTCGTGAGCGCGGCGCGAACACGCCGGCGAGCAATCGAGCCGACACGACGCGTGTCCCGGCGGCGAGGGTGAAAGGGGGACCACTTTCCATTCCCCCAGGTCGACGAGAGCGAGCGAGAAGCGATATAAGGGAAGATCGTGCAACGGACTCCGACGATACAGCGACTCTATATCGGCATCGATCGCCGAGTGACCCATATCTAGCGGTGACGGGAGCCTCTGCCCTCGCCCTCCCAACACCCCGTCGCCTTTCCAACCGCCCCTTCGACGCTTCTCGCATCCTGGCGCGCGCGTCTGCCCTCTCCTCGACCACCCCCGTTCGTTTGCTATTCCTTGTACTCCGTACGGGGGTACACCTCCACCCCACACGAGCCGTTGTACCCCCACCCGTTACCCTCTTCCTCCGACATCGGCGAGCGACCACCACCATCACCCCCTACCCCCGACTCCAGCAGCCCTGCCTGCCTTCCACGGCCGAGCAGATCTTGGGGGTTGTACGGGATGATAGCCGAGTGAAAAAGCTTGGCAGGTACCGAGGAGAGTTCGCTCATCAGCAGCAGCAGCCCTGGCCTGCCACAATCCCTTCGATTCGGTCATCGTAAGTGTCGCGTCGACGAGGAGATAGAGTGGAAGCTGGTGTGAGTCAGGTGGCGAGAGTGAGGGTGAACGCGAGAGAGAAAGAGTGAGAGCGAGAGAACGAGCGACAGAGAGGAATGTCTGAAGAGTACGAACGGGAGTGAAAGAAAATCCGATTAAAACTGACACCGGTCTGACCGTCTGACATCCTCCAGACACCGAGGAGGCAACGATCGAGCGAGTGTCACGAATGCGGAATATCGCAGGCGGCACCTCCAAACGCAAATAACTCGCGCGAGACATTTCCGGGAGTGAATCTATCATTTATCTAATCTGGTTCTGGTCAATCCACAAGCTCAACGTGTCGAGACTCACAGTGACAGTTCGTTGTGGAAGAGTGTTAGTGATGGGGATAAGGGTGGCAGCGACGACGACGGTAGCAGCGGCAGGCGGCACCGGGACGACGGACCAGTATGGCGGACAATAATCGTGGAGTGTCGGTGGTGTCGCTGCCACCACCGCCGTCGCCGCCACCGCCACCACCACCACCGTCGCTGCCGTCACCACCGTTGCTCGCGATAGTGCTTGCACTACGTACCCGCCGTGCAGTGGTGTCCGGTGCGCACCGGGTGCACATGTACACTACGTACCTTTCGCCCTTTAGTGAGATCAATAAGCAGTGCCGTGGCCACTCATGTCGTGCCCCTACCGAGAAAGTCGTTTCCGTGTTTGATGTTCCTTCTTCCCCCAGTCTGATCACGCGCCTTTTCTCCAACCCCCATCGTTACCGCCGCTCCTCTTCGCGTTGCCGTTGCGTTGTCTTGACTGGCAAATTTGGTTACACGAGGCTTCATCCCGAACCGCACGTCGAACGTCAAAGTGCCAAAGTGTTTCGGAAGTGGACAGCCTTCCGAGTCATCGTCGAGGGCTGGCTCTTTCAGTGACCGGAAGTGCAGTGTTTTATCGGAACTTCTCCTTTCCTCTCTTTCTCCGTCTCTTCTTGTCCCCTTTGAAGGGCGATTAAATGAGACTTCTTCAAACTCTTCCACGTTCAGGTTTTGACTCTTTTCCGCCCGTTTATCTCCGTGTATCAATCGTTATCTCGTCCGCCATCGAGGTATTCCTTGATATCGCTCGTCTGTTCACGTAGCACTTGGTAGCACTTCTTGTCCGCATCTAGAATCGAATCGTTGCCAGTCAGCACACGGTAGGACTTCTTGCTGTCTCCTTATTGCTGTCTCTGTCTTCTTTCATCTATCTTACTCTGTGCTTCTTCGTTCGCTCGTCGTCTTTCGTGCTGTGCAAGTTTCTTTTCATTCACATCTTCAGTTGCAACACATTTTGTTGCAACAAAATTGTCTTTATCTATTTCTACAGTTTCGTTCCGTGTTATCAGACCTACGAAATTTTATGATATCGATTTTTTATAACGACATGCTTTTCATCATTGAACTAAGCAACTAAAAAGTATTAAAAAAGAACTCGTCGCGAAAAAAATTCATGTTTTAACTCGAAATAATCCGAGATTGTCATATAATTAATGATTTATCCTACAAAAGAATTGTGTAAGAACTTTTTACATTTTTGAAAATTAATTACTTTACAAATGTAAAGAATGAATGTCCATTAAAATGTTAGATATTATAACAAATAAAAGATAACTAATAACAAATTATTCCTTTTACAAGTTCTACTATAAAATCTTTCTTCAATATCTAAAATATCTTTTTTTAAAAATCATGTTTCTTCTATTGATGATGTATTGTTTATATAATTCCGTTATCTAGACTTAATGTTAGCATGTTATCAATTGTTCAATCAGTCTCAATCGATTTACGTTCAACGTTTGCTACAATGTCGACAATCAAAGGGTTAACAAGCGAAAAAAGTTCCATACTGTGAAGAACAAAGTAGCCACAAAGTAACAGCGATAAGATGTATTTACCTAAGCCGCGAGAGGTGAACCGCGTGTGGCAGAATAAAATCGATAATTCGGCACTAATATAGGAGTATCTGGTATTAACTCGCAATGCGTGGATAGAAGGGTCGGAGCGAGTTTTTTTTTATCGGAAAAAAATCTTATATTTCTTCTCGCGGCATTATGCACTCAATCGTAATGGCAAACATTTGCATAATATATACACACTTGTTCTGATTCCTTTTTTTTTTGAGTTTTATATTTTTTTGTTTAGTTCTGCACGCGCAAGAAAGTTCTGTTTTTACTACTCGGTTATTTCAAGATACTATATCGATTCTTTGAGTCGTATCGTAGCTTGTTTTATCGCATTTTGTTCCTCTATGTGCATTGTAACAGCAACGCTGATTGTTCGTCAACGTGTTCATGAACTTGTGCATCAGAAAAGCGGATAATTTCCTGATCGTCGCTTTCACTGTGTCCGTTAGTGTCGGGAGAAAGAGAAACAAAGAGCGGGAGCATGCACAGCAATTAAATAGTATCAGAGGATGGAAGCGTACATGAGAGTGTTGCCGTTAAATAGCGTTAATAGGAAGGCGATGAAAGAAAAGGAAAATGAGAGGCTGCATCTAGCGAGATGTTTTCTCTTTTTGCACTTCATTGTCAATTATATACAGTGTACGCGAGTGATTTTTACAACGCATTACACACGGCTCTTACGTCAATTATCGCGTTTCATTCTATTGATAAAAAATGTTTGTTGACTTGCAGCACAGCTAATTTAACTTTTCTCAAGTGCTAACTTCTTTTATATCGATTCAGTGTACCTTCGTGCTGATGCATTTCTTCGACTGCAATATACATTTCTCCAACTACTCTTTAACGAAGAATGTACGTATAAAAGTTCTTACTCTATTCTTTTGCAGGGTCAATTTGTACTTTTCGCTTCCGGATTTATACGTCAAGCGTCGATGACTGATGACAACTGAAAATATCGCAGTAAAAATAAAGCACGTTTGATCTTTGGTGATTGAAGATAGATGGCAAGAAAGAAAGCGGGGAAAGTTAGCCGCATGCACTTTTATCTCGGTGCATAGACGCAGAGATAACGGGACGAGGGCGTGAAAGTCCGCGATGCGCGTAAATCGCTAACTGAAGCTCGCTTGGAACAAGGCACGTGTCACTCGTTGTAACGTACACGTAAAGATTCTGTGACAAGCGCGGCTTGGACGTAGGTGTATGCATGTTTGTGTGCGTTGTGTGTGCAGTCTGTTGTATGTAGTCTCAATCGCGGCAATTTTTTTCGAGTAAAAACCACAATCGAGCACTTGGCCGCACGCAACGCGTTAACACGAAATATCGCGCGAGCACTGTGCTCGCGCGCTGTAGTTAATACTCCCAACAGGCTGTGCCTGTCGATGTTAAAGTACATATTCGCGGTCGGTTGGGTTCATTGTGGATGCCGACAACGAGCGATCGTCGACCATAAAGTCGCAAACCGAAGCGAGGATTTCTACCGGCGGATTACAAACTCGATCGAATTCCTCGCACCAATACCTGTTGCCAATAATCGCGCCGATTGACTTTCTCACTTAACGAGAAACTCCTGTAGTTTTAGCGACCAGAACAGCCCTTTAATGCGCGATAGTTGAATCGTAAAGCCGCCCTTTATTTGACACAAAAAGGATCAAGCTGAAGAAAGTTTTTCTTATTATTCTAAAGTCTTTTAAAAATAGTCTGTGAATTAATAACTTTTTTGTTTATCTTTAAATTAAATGAAATTACTGTAGAGAACTTATATAGTGCATCAAAAAGATATCTAGTTCAAAGGCCGTAAATAAAATAGATAAGAAAATCAGGCTACTTGAAAGTAATTTTATCAAATGAAGGGCCAAAATCGATGCAACCTAATTCGCGCTATATTTGGCTACGACATACATTTCTCACATTTCGCAATTAACACATCAGTAATTTCGCTCATTAAATATTCATCTTCTTTCCTAAATCTGAAAATACAAGATTGTGGCGAGAATGCCGCTCATTAACGAATTAAAAATATTTTGCATACGTGCATTTTCTCCTAGGATGACCCCATATCTAACTACGAATCAGCTGATCCGATGCGAAGGAACGCTGGTTCCCCTTAAACGCGAGGTCCCCCGTTTCCCGAGAGAGCTACGAGAACAAGTTCCGGTTCATTCCCGAGGCGGGGTACGCACGTGACGGGAGAAATAAGAATTCTATACTTTGTACTGCAATAGAGTCGCACTGTTAGGCGTGTGTGGGATCGTCGTGCGGTGCGCGGCGCGGCTCGGCGGGCCGCGCAAAGGCCGCCCAATTAATTAAGATAGCTCCTAGACACACACGCTAGATCGATAGGGACCGGCCGCGATAAAGACTGGCGAGGGTCTCAGACTTCAGGGATGTTGCAGTGCTGTGGTGTTGGAGGTGGCGCTTCCACGGCTCCGCAGCTGCACGGTACCGGATCCGCTGTCGGGGCTACCACCTCCACGAGAACCACCATCATGCAGGACGCAGTTCTCGAATCCATCCTGGAGGTGAGCATCATTCGAATATATGAAACAATTTTCCACACATGCTTTCCCATTTCTTTTTATTTTATTTTAAGAATTTATTATTTGCTCTGAGAAAAAAATTATGTTGGATCAACAGCATTAGTTTAGATAATATTGATTTAACAACAGTATTAATGAAACAGATAAAGTTTTATTGAATCATGGGTATGACGTATTTGTTTCATTAATGATGTCATTGTGTGTGTGTTTGTGTGAATTAACAAAAAATTATTTTTAATTAAAATGCTGTTGGTCCATCGTTCCTTTTTTAGTGTGGATTTAATTAATATTTTTTTATACCCTCTTTTTAAAATATATTACTATTAATTATACATTATTAATAATAACTTAAATTTTTATTAAATGCAATCTCTAAGATAATGGAAAATATTTTAAGAACAATTTTTATATTTTTTCTTTTTTAATTTTTTTAGGTGAGATTTCTGCGTATTACTTTTTATGTGAGAAAAACTGTGTTATTTTAAATCTACGGGAAAAAAGTATTTTCAGTAAGGCAGCGGGATATTATTTTGTAGCTGCTAAAAATTAAAGATTATCCGCGTGGCGATATTAATGAATTCGTAAAACGTGTGCGTGCGCTTTGTCGTGAATTGAAAGTCCTTGAAATTAAACAGATTATGTGGAAAGGTAATATGCATGTAATCAATACGCACACATACACACGTGCGCGCGTGAAAGTTATGTGTAAACCATCGACAATGAACCGCAGCTCATGAAAAGCTCTCTTTCACTCTCGGCGTAGCGCTCGCCGGCACTTGATAAAGCAAACGTAATATGAAAAACAAAAGTTTTTATTAATGCGTTCCGGTAACGATTGCTCGTTCTCGAGGGAACTTTAATTCGCAGCTTCGCCGCGCGTAAAATATAAACCGCTTAAACTTTGTGAACGACTGAAATTTATGTCTCCTGTACGCGATCATGCTTCAAAGCGAATCTCGGAAATCTGTACGTGGAAAATTAATACTGACCCGGCAGAAGTTCAAGCTACCGTAATCGAGATAATTGAGCGATTAATTTCGCGAAATGATAAACAATTTTACAGATTATATAGCGATCGGTGTCGTGCCATAATTGTTAGCTAATTATAAAAAGCTATTAAAGAGGAAATGTCGAAGAAAGCGTGATTCCCATTAGTATTGTTCTTTTTTTTTAATATCATTTTTTGACAAAGGATCTCTACAGTTAGATTTTATATAGCGAGATCAGCACACCTTCGGGCATCGGAGCACAAAAGCTCTCCTTCATTACAAATGTGACATTCTTGTCGCGTATCCAACTACACGTCGCTCCGAGTTATTAAAAGCGAAGCCTTGCAATCACAAAAATTGAATCAATTTCTCTTTTTATCTGTTATTTCCACTCTAAAAAAAACATTGGCTAACTCTATGAAATTATATTAAAGTCTATTTATAAAACTCCCACGTACATTAAA